TTCTCTTCTACTATAGGAGATTTTTCAAAACAGTTTTGTCCATTAGAGAGAGGTTTTTATTGCGCATCTTTTGATATATTTTTTCTATGTCTACCTTGTTTTTTTAGAGAAAAAAAGTTTAGAAAATGCTCGACCAAAAATTTCGAATGCGAGCTTGTATGTGGTAAGACTTCAAGCAAGTCCTAACGACGCACTTGGGTGGACCTAATGACCCACTCGGCTCACAGGGGCAGCGGGCGGACCTAGCGACACACTCGGCGAGAAAACTGGCAAAAAGAGGCTCTTTTGACAGGCGGACCTAACGACACACCCGAGGTTAAAAGTAGTGAAAGAGGCTCTTTTGGCGAAGTTTTTGCGTACAGTTGGCAACAAGTCATTGCTAGTAATGGAGATTATCTTTTAGATTGACCTTGTTTAATTTCGTTTTTATAATAAAAAAATTTTTTACACTCAAACGCGCATTCCTTTCCGAACAACCTACTAACTTTATTGGTCTCATCGAACATTTTCACCACCATATTAAAGAGCATATTAAATACTATCATGACACTCCGCCACAGCCTTCTGGACGAGCGCCATCGAGAGATTCTGGCACGCGACCGCGATGTGGTGCCTGAGATCAGCGAGATAGTCGATTTCTCCGCCACCGTAGACCACCCTATTGAACTCCGCCCGAACCGGGGGATTCAGGTCAGGTGACCTACTTGGATATTCCATCTTCTTTAGGTACTCAGCCCCCTTCCATTCCAAGTAGGCGAGAGTTTCTCCAACGCCCTTCGATTCCATGTGGTGGCACCCAATGCTGTAGCAGTACAAAGTTTCCAAGAAGGTACGGGCGACGACATGTGAGGAGGATATTCTTCACGAGTTGCTCGATGTAACCGCCAGCGCTCACCTTATGTCCGGGGTCCACGAAGAAAATATTGGTCTTCCCATTCCAGGTACGTCCGGTCATACCATCAACCCGCCCTTGCCGACTGTGTGAAGATGATGTCCTAGACCGTGGCGATGTTGGGTCTTCCAGATTGAGAGTACTGGTCTCCAGGTAGCTATCCATGGGTGACTCCATACTAGAAGTTTCGCAGCTGTTTGGAGGTGACATGAATTCCAAAGGTCTTCTCCAGTCAGGCTGCGACTGGAGATGACTTCATATTTTGGTGTACATGAAGGTGATGGGCGAGAGCCAGCTCCTGCTTATAGAGGAACATCTTGGGTATCTTCCGCCCTGGTACTCGTATCCACGTCTTCTCTCTGGGCAGCGAAAACTTTGCTGATATGTGACTCGGTCGAAGTGACTTTTTTTGCCCCCCCCCCCCAGCAAATGAATCAACTTTGACCCAGTAGTCTATTGGAACTCTACTTCTCCGACTAAGGGGGAAAATACGGTTGCCCATGCTCGATTAGAGATTTTCAATAGGTTTCGGCCGACTGCACCAATGATTAACTTTCTAAGCTCACGGACATTGTGGAATTGTGCATTACTCTCATGGATCATACGCACCATGAAGCCCCTCACATCCTCGATTGGGTTTTGTCGGGCTACTCGCTGGCCAGGGCAAAAGAGCGGTCTGGTGACGACTGAAACCTACTGGTGAAACCACGCTCGAGTGCTTCTGCTGACATGAAGAGGCTCTTTTGACAGGCGGACCTAACGACACACCCGAGGGGAAAAGTAGTGAAAGAGGCTCTTTTGGCGAAGTTTTTGCGTACAGTTGGCAACAAGTCATTGCTAGTAATGGAGATTATCTTTTAGATTGACCTTGTTTAATTTCGTTTTATAATAAAAAAATTTTTTACACTCAAACGCGCATTCCTTTCCGAACAACCTACTAACTTTATTGGTCTCATCGAACATTTTCACCACCATATTAAAGAGCATATTAAATACTATCATGACACTCCGCCACAGCCTTCTGGACGAGCGCCATCGAGAGATTCTGGCACGCGACCGCGATGTGGTGCCTGAGATCAGCGAGATAGTCGATTTCTCCGCCACCGTAGACCACCCTATTGAACTCCGCCCGAACCGGGTAATTGAGGGATTCAGGTCAGGTGACCTACTTGGATATTCCATCTTCTTTAGGTACTCAGCCCCCTTCCATTCCAAGTAGGCGAGAGTTTCTCCAACGCCCTTCGATTCCATGTGGTGGCACCCAATGCTGTAGCAGTACAAAGTTTCCAAGAAGGTACGGGCGACGACATGTGAGGAGGATATTCTTCACGAGTTGCTCGATGTAACCGCCAGCGCTCACCTTCAGTCCGGGGTCCACGAAGAAAATATTGGTCTTTCCATTCCAGGTACGTCCGGTCATACCATCAACCCGCGCCTTGGCGACTGTGGTGAAGATGATGTCCTAGACCGTGGCGATGTTGGGTCTTCCAGATCGAGAGTACTGGTCTCCAGGTAGCTATCCATGGGTGACTCCATACTAGAAGTTTCGCAGCTGTTTGGAGGTGACATGAATTCCAAAGGTCTTCTCCAGTCAGGCTGCGACTGGAGATGACTTCATATTTTGGTGTACATGAAGGTGATGGGCGAGAGCCAGCTCCTGCTTATAGAGGAACATCTTGGGTATCTTCCGCCCTGGTACTCGTATCCACGTCTTCTCTCTGGGCAGCGAAAACTTTGCTGATATGTGACTCGGTCGAAGTGACTTTTTTTGCCCCCCCCCCCAGCAAATGAATCAACTTTGACCCAGTAATCTATTGGAACTCTATTTCTCCAATTAAGTTGGAAAATACGGTTGCCCATGTTCGATTAGAGATTTTAATAGGCTTTCGGCCGACTGCCCCAATGATTAACTCCCTAAGCTCACGGACATTGTGGAATTGTGCATTACTCTCATGGATCATACGCACCATGAAGCCCCTCACATCCTCGATTGGGTTTATGTCGGGCTACTCGCTGGCCAGGGCAAAAGAGCGGTCTGGTGACGACTGAAACCTACTGGTGAAACCACGCTCGAGTGCTTCTGCTGACATGAACTGGCGCATTATCTTGCATGAAAACGGGACTTTCTTGCTGATTTCTACGCCAGAAAGCAAGGAGACGTCGTCGCATGACGTCTATAAAGGCGGAAGAAATCATTTTTTCTCATACGGACTACGGTTCCATTGATGCGATGGCAGCCCAGACCATGAGATCACATCCTATGAAAATGCGCCCGGAAAAACGACTTATCTTTCCTTGGGTCGTGCCAGCGGAATCAGTTTTCCTCTGAGCCGTCGCAGTTGAATTTTTTCTCATCAGAAAACACGACCGCGAGAAAAAAAAACTGAAAAAAACAACACAGACAAGCAGTAGGGCACCGCAGCCAAAAGCTAACCTCACTCCATTGGATTCGGCAACATCTTCGAGCAAAGCCAATTAGGTTTTCGCGATGGTTTTTCTTATTAGAAACGATGCCTAACTCACATCCTTCCTGTGGTTGAACTCAGTTTTTCAAGAGACGCCCAGCGGTATCCTTCGAGACATAACCTCCGAAAATGACAGTTTCCCGACACGACACTGCAGAGTTGGATGCTTTCCTAGGGATACGGCGCTTATTCCGATTGGGTAGCAAAGAAGGATGATGATCTTCTCAGATCAATATCCTGTAGGTTCCTTGACAAAATTGTTGATAGCATGATGAGTGCAGTCCCGAATCCCGCGCCATTCGACGATTCAACAGTTTTTGAGACTTCTTTGCGATAATCTGTCCTTTTTCGAGGTTGACCTTCCACTTGCCATAGCCTAGAAGAGGCAAGAAGTCATAATGATGAGAAGTTTCACCGAACAAAAATGAGATGCAGCCGGAAAATATGCGGTGGAACTATACTTTTGCTGCGTTGTCAGAACGACCATTTTTGAAAAAAATTGACGAAAAAAATTGTTTTTCCAAGCTAGAGTTTGGTGTTGGCATGCGAATTGGTATTGGTAATTACCACATTTTTTGTATGGGGCATTTTTGAAAACGTCGTGTAAGACGGGATTTTGTGAGATTCATGGGTGGAACTATGATTATGTACAGTCTTCATCATTACGGACTGTCGGGGCGGCACAGCCGCGCTGCACTGTGACGCGACAGCGGCTGCGGCTCGGACGGTGAATCAGCTGATTTCGATGGAATTCGGCTGCAAATTCCCACTTTTTCAGCTCTTCAAGCTTCTAAAGTGGAAGGTGAGTTATTCTGAACAATTTTGAATTGTACTGGCTCTGATTTCCTTTATTTTTATGTCGATTATTATGCTCTTTTCCTTGTATTTTGCCTTATTTCAGGCATTTATTCAAATGGCTTACATTCTTTCAGATTCATTCAGAGTCAGTACAATTTAAAATTGTTCAAAATAACTCACCTTCCACTTTCGAAGCTTGAAGAGTTGAAAAAGTGGGAATTCGCAGCCGAATTCCATGGAAATCAGCTGATTCGCCGTCACCGAGCCGCAGCCGCTGTCGCGTCACATTGCAGCGCGGCTGTGCCGCCCCGACAGTCCGTAATGATGAGGACTGTAAAACCCTCAACTTTGAACTTCCTAGCACTGAATGTGCTTGTCTGATTGAATCACAAACCAAGCACTCAAACCAGTTCTGCAGCTCCACTACATACTAGCTCGATTCATGTTCGCATACATAGAACTGCGATTGTATGTGGACAGTGGGTTTATACATGATAATGGATAGAGCATTTCTGGATGACGAATCCTTTTCTAGGATGTGCTACGCGTTTTACTCAGTTGAGATTTGCAAGGAAAGTGTGAATGCAATTTAGTCTATAAGGTGAATTGCGAAGCCACCTGATGCATGCTGAGGTTGTTAGGCTTTCACACTACACTAGACGAGTCTGGTGTTAAAGATCCGAAATGGAGCCAGGAGGACTCAGCTTGCCTGAACGGTACTTGCCTCGGAACTCAACTTTCGCTAATTACCCGCCACTACAGCGACGGACTTTTGAGGCATCCTCTATAACATAGTCAAGGTCCAGCACTGAATCCTTTTTCACGATTTCTCTATCGAATTGCTTTCAAAAGCCACCTTCAGGCATCAGAGACGTGTCCACATTGCACCCATCGAGTTTTAAGTAGTCCACTTCCCACTCGGCAAACGTATTCGCATCCACCTGTAGGAAAGTTCTTTTGTACAATTCCAAACGACAAAATAAACAATACCTGCAAATGACCCAAACTTCCAGGGAATCCAGCGCATGTTTTGGTCCCGAAGTCTTCGTAAATACCAAATTTCAAGCCTCTTGCATGCATCTAAAGAACGATTTCCAACACTGTCAGCGTTGTCCAGAATGTTAAACCCACTAACGTATCTAGCCAAATTGTGCATTCCACTGGGAAATCGGTACGGGTCAGCGACAAGCTTCCCAGTGGTTCGATCTCGTTCACGACCCATCCAGCAGTCGTCCACGTGCACACTCACGTACCCGGCCTCCCGATAACCTCCCATCACTATAAATTTCATAGATTCGGAAAAAATTATGGGAAGATAGAACTTTAGTGTCCTCAATCCTAAGGGTCATCGGAAAAAAATTATGGGAAGATAGAACTTTAGTGTCCTCAATCCTAAGGGTCATGTGGAGGTTTCTTATAGAAGCAGAGGACGACCCACCAAGGGCGTCTGCCATCTCCATGTAGAGATTTTCGTTGATACAAGCTCTTGGATGCTTGACACAGTTCATCTCGCAGTAGAACGCCGTCCATGACATCCATCCCATCGGAGGGGTTCTGAAATAGTCTAAATAGCTCAACGCGGATGAAAAATTCGTCCATGATCTGAGGCGTTGCCGTGTTTGTCACGGAATCAAACATGAGGTGGCCCAGACACGTAGTGCGACTTGTGACGACCGTGGGGTCACATCGGTTAGCTGCTAGATTCCACCAGACGTTAAACCTGCACCAGCACGGACCAATTGCCCGACTTTAAAGCTTCGTCTCAAACGCTCGCCAAGAAGTAAATGTGAGTTTTCGAGCGTTTCGAATCCAATATACTACTCCTGAGGCGGAGGTGGTGTAGTGACAAGTGGCGCGCTTACCACTCGCGCGGCGCCGGGTTCGAATCCCGGGTCGACACCCGCCCAGGCCAACCAAGCCTTCTACCCTCCGGGGACGGTAAATTGGTACCAGATTCGTCTGGGAGGATAAAACACTGACTTGTACATCGGCTGGCCACCGCAAGTCATTGTATAGGCCACATCGCATTCAATAAGCCACTACGATTCTGAATGGAAGTAGAATGCGTGCCGCATCCCACAAAGGGATTGATCAACGGCGAAGACTTTATCCTTTATCCTTCATACTACTCCTATTCCCGCGTAGGAGGGACGGTGCGGAGATTTCCAGGGGAACGGCAAAACTGCCTTGAAGAAACTAAATAATAAAAAAATAGGCTACCCAAGGCATGTAGAACTTGCTCAATGAGCAGGACCCCTATTCATAGCCTTCTCACTATAAGGGTCGAATCTTGTCTCATCACGTGTTAATGTTCTGTTTTATATTCATCCTTATACTACTTATGTTTCACGCACTTGTCAATTCATTCACTTTCACTCACTGTGATTGTCATTGGCGTTCTGTTCAGATGCCCCATTGTTTAGGCGCACAAACGCTGCGTCACAATTAAATAAAATTCACAAAAAGTTAGTTCATCAATATTTTCTTATACGATCGCAAGGTCGCAACAAACCTTGCCAAGCCATTTTCGAGTGCGGCCACTGTTCCAAGTAGGATAGTGCAGAACCAGAGCATACCTTGGAATTGGAGAAAATTGTTCAAACCTCTACTGAAAATTCAGCTTCAGTGAGAAAAATGGAATATGGAAGGCTCCGTAACGGTTAAAGACAAACTCTACCCTTGGCGATGTGGTTTCCTGTCTTTGCTATGTGTGAAGTGGGTCTACAGCTGCACTAGCGTGCAAATTCCTCTCAAAAGTACATGGAAACGGGGCCGGGAAGTGAGAAGCCCGGTCGCCCTCCCGGTATCACCAGTTTTCTGCGGGTGCTACCGCGCGGCCATCCACACTTACCCATAGACAAACGTGCTACTTGTTTGCGTCCTCTTATTGTTCTCATCGCTGAGTGCATACGTTCGCTGTAGACTCCCGGTTTGAACGCAAGGACATTCATTTATGCGCAAACGGAGTATGGAGTCGGCACCCGTCTATTACTGCCAAAGCATGTCTTGCCGTTGGGGAAAGTTTTCGGAAAATGGAACCCTCCCCGTCAAAACTTTCTCCCCTGTTGAGATCCCTTCCTTTCTTCCTTCATCGTGCTACCCATCTTCCCGGACTCCCAATTTCTTATCACCTACCACTTTTTCCGAATTTTTTTTTCTCAAAAATTTCCCAGCTCCTTCCCAAAAATTACATCCGAGGGAGGGGGTGGGGGAGCACACATGAAATGAAAGAACAGAGAGCTCAACAACCGGAACCATATTCCTCGACAGTAAATATATTCCCTCTCCCCCCTCGCTGGGACCGTCACCTCACGACGTGTCCTGACCACTACCCTCCACCTCGTTCCCTGCACAAGAAGTGACACGCTGTTGCAGCTGCGAGTCCACTCACCTCGCAAAAAAGGACCTTCTTATGAGGTGAGTGTGCAGTTTTTCTTCGAGGGGAACCTACAGAATTGGAGTGACATCAATAATGTAGCGAAACCGTACAATAAGAAAACAAGGGGCAAGTGCTACCATAGAGTTTTGAAAATGTCACAGAAAGGAAAGGGGCACAGCAGTCACTTATGCGATGGTTTTTTCTCTTGAATAGGAGGGCCTGCAACCGCTTCAGTGTGCGTAAAAATGGCGCCAAAATCTCGTGACCTACGCCTGACAAGAAGTCCCTCACACAGAGAATACCCACCGCATTCTTTGGGCAGAAAATGCAGAGCCTTCGCTCGTTTATGTGCTCTTTCTTTCCCCATCGTTCCATCTCTCTCTCTTCCGGGCGCTCACAGCCTCTGCACCATATGCTCGCATAATGCTCAAAACCTACGGCAAAAAGAAGCTTCCAATTTGGAGTGTTTCCGCCTCTTTCCTCACTGGTCGCAGTCAAGCATCGTCCATCCCGGTAGCACTCAAGGGAAATGGGCAGTATCAAATCTTGAGCTTCCCTGCCACGCGCTCTAGAGTGGCGAAAGTGCTGCACTTCCGTGGTGCCGGACCTGCCCAACCCAAAAGGGGAAGGATTTCATTCCTCAGATACCGTACAGTCCGTCTCCAGCTTTATGACAGAATCTTGCAACAGAATAATCCTAGCAAGAGTAACGTGTGAAGAAATGAAGTGAAGTATGTGTGGAGTAAAAGTAGAAGTTCACGAGTAGCTCTCTTCGAGGTCGCTGAAGGAGAAAACTCTGTATAATTTCAGATGGAACAATACAAATGTCAGAGAGTGCTATAGAAATGGGTGCTGTCAGCGCATAGCGCCAGAAGCACAGCACAATTGAAAACGAGTTTTCGCAGTTTTTGACCACGACTTTCTGTAATGTACTTTTCAGCTGAGGGAAATCTACGCGATTACTACTGGATGTTGCTGGCGAGAACTCGTTGACGAACAGAACCATAAAATATGATCGAACGAATGCACTTTTGTGCCTTAACGCGTCTTAGATCTACTTCGCAAAATTTCCAAGGAAGAGGGGAAATGGGTCGTTCACTCGCGAAACGATATTGTTCGAAACTCTATTTATGGTGGTGATAGGATTCCTAATGTAAATGAATGGTGGTCCCAGAAGAATCCTCCCGTTACTAGAGGCTAGTTCAAGACGAAGGTGATCTAGTGGCAAACGACACCATTATCGCATACACGATCCGGATCTGATCCCGGAGATCAGGTTTCAGATCAAGTACCCCCCGGTCCAACAAATCTTTCCGTTACTGCGGTTCGGAGAATTGACAGAAGACTCGTTGGCGTGGATGAAAACTATGACTTGTTCAGCGGCTTGTGCCTATACTGATTGAGTGGTCCCCTCCTAACTACAAAATATGACCTCTGATTCGATTGCAAAACGATGAGGTAAGCTGTCTGGAAGGGTGCACTCATAGTTCATGGCATTCATCCCACCATTTAATTTTTCTCGAGTCCTCTGAGAGGTGGAAAACAGAAAGGAGTCGAAGGAGAAGACAGATTGAGAAGGCGCTTACATGCCGAAGAATGCATTACTGGGTGATTCTTAGTCGCTTTAAATTAGCGAACTGTGCGAACAGTGCAAAGAAGCGGAGCATATTTTTACTGATGCTATCGAGGAGATGACTGGAACCGAGCAAATTGTATGGCAGAGCTGTGACAAAGACTGGAACCGCGACGTACGTCCCTCACCATCTACAGTTTTCGCTTTCTTAAAATCAGATTAAACGTTGACGAAGACGAGAGGATCGTAAAAAGGCATCGTAGGTATCGTAAGGGTGTAGCAGAGAAAGTACTGGATGATATATTAATGAGAACCAAGTGGAAGTTTCGGAATGCGCCACGTACTCGATACCAATCCTCTTCAGAGCACATCAAGGCTCCTTGCTGAGTTGAGAAGAAGCGATCGATGTTTACGACAGGGGCTCGAGGTACCTTTCGAAAGTTTGTGGGAGAAATATGAGCGAAGAAGTTAGAGTTTTCAGAAGTTGGGGGAGCCAAGGTGAGAAGACAGGGAAGGACTGTGGTCGGAAAGCTGCCAACAATAGATACGCCCGCTACTCCTGTTACCCGCCTTCTAGTGAAACACTATCGATATGAAGTACAAGCAAACACTCACAATTATTTACAGCCATTCACTCAACAACGAAACGCTACTAGGTAAGAAAATCTTCAAAGACTGACTGCCGGCTAAAGGGATTGTCTATTCAACAAACTGACCACAGGGTGCTAGCTGCCGCGTCGCGAACAGCTGATAGCTTTACAACAGCGTTCCGACTTTTTGCCATAGACATCATTTCTTGTTCCTGGCCAAAGATCACTTGGTACGATTCCTGCTCTCACCTACTGGAGGGCAAACAAACTCGAAAGCATATAAATGCCACTAGGAGTCGTGGTGGGGCCCATAAACGGCAATGTGGGTGCTCGTTAAAGGCAATTCCCGCGACCACACTTCATAGGTAATACAGTTCAAAAATAGAATTGCCCTGTGATTGTTGACTTATTGAAGAGAAGGAACCACGAAAAAGCGCCCGCAATAAGACCCTCTTTATTTCAATTGATCATGATCACCGGACGAGCGTAAGGTGGTCAAGATCGATTGTGGATTGCAAAAGGCGGCGAGACACTGATAAGAGACGAGAGAGGCCAGAAAACGACGGCGAGAGAGCGCAATGGCAATGTCACAACGACACGGTCACTGGAGGCCGGCATGGGCCTATCGGGCGCCAATGGGCCTAAAACCTGAGCGCGCTGCGTTTTGCTTGCTGTTTTTCAACTTTTAAAAGCAGCATAGCCTCTGACGTTGCCTGCTTGACCGTCGGGCACGGTTATGAGAACCTAGCCTTAGTTTATCGCGGAACGTGCCTTTAAATAATCGAAACAGCAACAGAAAAAGTCGCAAGAGGCTAGGAGGGACGGTACACTGGAGAGCACTAGGAGGGAGAAGCAGAAAACGTCTTGCGAAGAAGCACAACCAAATGATCACGACGACACGGGCAACATAGGCGGCATGGGCTCACAGCCCTAGATGATGAGCCTGCATTCCGCTTTCCATACACTGTCAAGTCGCGAAAAGACTTTCACTGAGTTGCTGTAAACCCAAGATTGATTCCGATAATTATTTGAGATAGGGTACGAAATGTTTGAAATTCCTATCTTTTTGGAATGCGCCACGCATTTGACTACCACTGGGAAGGCTTTAGGCTTTAGAATGCTCTGGCTCATACTACAGGTTGTGTCTACCACAGGGCGACGACATTTTTTGACTTGCTTTTTTGGCACCTTTCCCAAGTCTTCCATATAGCTAGCAGGTTTTGGACGGACCCCGTTGTTCGAAATGTCGACGTGGAAGCATCTTTCATCGGTAAAAAGAGTTCTGTGAGAAATCCCTGTCAAGGTTCGTCGTTGAAAGAGGAATATATAACATAATAATATATAGGAGTATACAATGAGAGGCGCTCTCGCGGGTGCCTAACTCAATCTTCAGGATCTGGAAATATAGAGAAAATTGCTACGTGCAATAGAATCTCATCGCAGTTTACGGAATTGAGTAGCACTCGAAAACCAGCGGAGGATTTAGTGGTGTCTGAAGGAAGAGCAGACGGAATTGTCAAGAACGCCTCAAATAAAGACTTTCTTGTGGCAGCTGATTCTGACCGCGAGGACAAAATTCGTTGAGATTAATTGGGGAAAACTAGACAAAAGACGCTAAAGAGCACACAACCAAAGAGAACAACAGTTGCCATTCTTCTGATGGGGAACTGCTTGGATTCTCTCTTGCCACTCACTCCACGTTTCTCCACAAATGACTCGGTTCTTGTCAGTGAACACGAAACTTTACACCCCTCTCTGGGGTTCAACCCAACCAGGCCAGCTAGACTGATGGTGGTTAGCCATCAGGGAAGTCAAAAGCGTATTTGTAAAGTGACCTAATGGACTACCACAACTAGCGTGCTCAATTTACAGTCCTCATCATTGCGGACCGGTGGGGCGTGCCAGCCAGAAGGAGTGCGCACACTGTTGAAGCCGTTCTCAGCCTTTTTTGTTGCAACGCGTATGCGACAAAAAGTGGTAGAAAACGAGTAATACGAAGGATATAATACAGTAATGCACTTGCCCGCTTCAA